CCTTCAGCACTTTCCCTTTATCTTTCCTACGCAACTAGTTGCTCCATTAAATACCGTCATACCAGCACCTTCAAAGGGGTCACCAATGGAAGCCCCTACACCACTAAGGGACCTCCATTGGACACCCCTTGAAGGTACATTCATGGAGTGTGAAGTAGATACCCTCTAGGTCTCCTGCCCCAAGGCTGAGACCATGTTCGACCGCACCCACACCATCGAAACGGAGGGGCGTTTGTTTTGTCCAGCCCACACGGGAGATGACCTCGTTTTTTCCGGAGATCTTCAGGTGTTCCAAACAAGGAAACGGTCCCTTTCAGCCGGGTGAGGCTTCGAGCTCGCTCGGCTAACCAGGTTGTACCAGGTTGTACCAGGTACCTGTGGCCAGGTTGGCCCGCTCCCTGCCTCCCATACGGCCAAGTGTCGTCTGGTTAAATGTTGCACCACCAGCCCGAAGATCAACAAGAGCACCCAGTCGAAACGCAGCAGAACCTGGCAAAAAGAACCAGGTTTAGCGGTTTAAGTGTTCATCATTGTGTTCCATGTCAAATCTGGTGAACCGCTACCTATTCTCCAACCAGCCCCAAATTCAACCCTGGTCAACTTGACAGTACTACACGGACCACGATGGATGTATGGACTAGACTGGACCTCCACTGAATGGTCAATGAAGGGATGATTGTTTGTGGATGTCGGGAAAGGGCACGCGTGAGCTGGGCGCGTCGGTGATTCAGTCGACTGAGTGGAGTGATGCTGCAGGGCCTGGCTGGATGGTTGCAGGTCTGGTCAATCTCCATAATTGCAGAATCGAACTGCTATATATATAATATATATATATATACATACACATAGATGATCATATATGTACGTAAATATAACATAATCTGTCCGTAATATACAAACATTGTTGTTTGATAAGATCATTGAATTTTGTTGACAATGCATATTTGATTTGGCCCAAGGGACACGCGTCAGCTCTTCAGCATGTGGTCGCAACAGGGCCAGCAGCATCGGCAAAACGTGCCCGGCTGCAGGCGCAAAGAGTAAAATGAGCAAGGCTCTCAAGTGCAGTCGCAGTATCTTCTTTTTGGTTTGTTCCTACTAGAAGACCCTCTTGTATATTCTACTATATACGCTATGACTCCATATTTGTCCTCCAAAAATCACCTCCATGAAAGCCTCTAGTGCTTTTTAGGGGACCCCCAAAATTTGCCTGGGACTTCTGTTTGGGAGCCAAAGACTTCCAGTCTGACTCTTCCGAAAGAGTCTGAGGTGCCTAGCTGGGCCTTGCTGGACCGAAAGCCGGAGTCTCCAATGAGTAGCTTGACTCAACTGGGCCAGCGGCCAATGGAGTCAATGCTAGGTCGAAGTGCCTTCACACGTTGAAACAATCTAAACTCCCAGGGATATCACGACTAAGAAGTGGTTGGGATGTGGACACAAGAGGAGGCCTACCTTCGTTTTCTGTGGAAGCCATTTTTGTCTTGGGCTCTCGTGTCTGACATGAACAATCGTGTGGCCCTCTTGGCTGCGAGAATCTGCTAAGGCAAGAAATCCTGCGGTGCGACACCAGAACCCCCAGGCCACTCTGGCCATCTTCAAGCTCATACAAAGATACCCTGACTAAAAGGAACAAAAATGTGTTAGACCCAACATCCCTTCGAAGATTTATACACTGGACTGCACTGCATATTTCATAGCAACTGCCTGGACCATTGTGAAGCAAATAAATGCAAACTAGCAGCTCAATGGCAAACGCACGTGGGACACCCCGACAGGAGATAAGAAAGGCTTGCATGCAACACCCGGATGTTGCTGAGCAAATGTCTTCGATAGGACACTGCAACATCTGCTGATCACCTGAAATCCAGCAACCTGTAGCAGCTAGGCTATGCTGCTATAATGTTGTGCCTTACAAGGAATCACCTGTGTCAGTCAGAATGACCTGCGCAATTGCCAATTTGGAATCGCAGCTGGCTGACCATAAGCTCCAGAAGCATGTGAGCCCCAGCTGGCTAGCTCCTTTCTGCAGGCGAACTTTTCGGTTCCTGCTGGTCTGTGTCATGAGGAAGTCCAGCCGAACATGGATTTGCTGAACACAGGAGCACCACATGGCAAAAAATCGATCGCAAAGGGATGTTGCTTCCATCTTTTGGATTACCTGATATGTCCTGTGTGGATTTTGCAAATCCAAGTTCCACATCTTTGGCCTGACATCTCTGACCTACGCTGTTTGCTGCTTCTGTTGCGCAGCTTGTGCAGCATCTGAGGCGTCTCTGGCACTGCGTCTTTCATGCGCAGAGTGTGCAGTGGGGGATTGGTCTCTAGGGCTGTTCTGGCTAAGAAAGGTCCTTGCCCTAGCCAAACGAAGGCTTTTCTTCACATTCAACAAATATCTCGTAATATACCAGCACCTTCATGTCGGGGTCACCTGGCTGGTTTCGCCCCAGCCCACCACTGTTTGGGACCTCCAGCCACACCCCGAAAGAAGGTCCAGGTATATATATATATATCACCACGGGAGATTGAATTCTTATTTTTTTTGAGAGCAAAACAATATGACTTATGCACATACTATATAATATATGGTCAACGACACTTCGGAGAGTCCCTGGCCACTGGACAAGACACGTCACAGTGGATCTGAATCCATGTGATGGCAGCTGATGTTTTTCATACCACTCATAGGGTTGTGGTGGCAGCATATCCATAGCATTCCTTCTTGCACTAGCTTCCTGGTTCCAGACATGTTTTTGCTACGCCAGCTTTTTGTGTGGACTTCAAAGAGGGACGAAAGCTTAAAATAAAGCTGTCAAAGAAGAGGTACAACATGTGCAATCAGTTTTCCTGAGAAGCAACAATGGGTAGAGAAACCCTGCACAGGGGAAACACAAAGACACTACACTAAATTGAGAGAAACAATGAGAAACACGTCAAACGCACGACCGCACACGAAACATAGGGCACCAGCGTTCCGCGTTCCAAGCTTTTGGACGCAAAGCCTCCAAGGCGTCAAGCCCCCAACAAGTAGGACGAGTAGGACGCTGTAGGACGATGCGAGATGAGAGCCCGACGATACGACATGGGATCGTCTCCCCCAGCGATGCTTAAACATGGCCGAACGTGGTGACGCTCGTGGTCCGAGTCTTTTGTGATGTTTTTTGTGGGAAAGCGTCATTGGACCACAGGCAAAGGATGCCAAAGGTAAGAAACACATCGACTCACAATGCAAAACGAGTACTTCTATACTTGTCATGAATTTGATTTGTCCTTACCCCTCTACTGCCAGCGACAGCCTGAGAATTCATCGGTGCTTGTTTGATCTTGTTTGACCAGGGAGAAGGGTTGACCAAAGAATCCGACGGATGTTGGGCGTGCTTTCCCAGCTTCCTTTGAGTAACTTGACTGATATGCTTTTGCGACACTCTCGCTCAGTTGAGACGCAACCAACCTTTTGCAATTTTTGATGGCGTTTGAACACGACTGCAACCAAATGTTTGGTGACCTCATCGCAAGCATGAAGAAAAACACAGGGGCAACCGACCCACGTCTCTCGATTTGACTTCAAACCGGACATCGTGTTCATCTGGAAGACTGCTCCGGGCCGTCTTGGGTTGATATCGCCACACAACCGTCCACCACAAAGCAGCGCCCGCACAGGTTGGGTCATAATGTTCATACTCGAAATCAAACGCCCCCCCAAATCCGCCTAATTAAACAATCACTCAAGAAAAGGTTTAGCGGCTACCAGTCTAGCATCTACCCTTCATATCCAATTTATCTAAGGCATTTCTTCCACACAATCATACCCAAACACTCCATCTGGGATAGAAATAGTTGACCCAGCTCCTGGTCACTACGAGAAGCCACCCAAGGCGCCCGGTTTCGCGCGCGGCTTCACTACGTCTGCTCCGGAGAAATCGCCTGTGGAGTTGCCACAACTCCACTGGAGGCACATGGTCCGCACCCAAAGGTGTACGAGGAATATAGAGATGCTTAAAAATGTATGTGTCTTTCTTTCGACACCACTCTTTAGTCTGTTAGCATGGCAAACTTGCATCTTTATGTCAGTTTGTTTTCCATCAGTGTCCAGTGACACAAATGATTCCTTCGATGAACCGGCCAAAACTATAGGGACGGTCTGATCCGTCGGATCCACCTAAAGGGCTTCTCCAAGGAGCGTCGGACTACCCCACACGGATCCGGCCGTTCGGCTTCCAAACAGGGCACCCCGACTGGAGGGTCCTGGTACTAGGGTTTCTACTAGGGCTTCTACTAAGTAGGGCTTCTGTGGACCTGTTTGAGACATGTGCCAAGGAGGCCAGACCAACCTGCCTGAACAAGCTGCGTCCGACCCGGCAGCGTTCGCCTGACCGCCCCGGCCACCGGGCCTGACCTGCCGCGCAGGAGCTCCACGCCGCCAAGGCCAAGCCCCACAGCCTAGGACACGGCAGGTGTGGGGGTGTCTTGACAGTGAGTCTTACTGCATGGAGAAGACTGACCGTGTACAGGTGGAAGGTAGGTTCAGATAGTAAGCTACTAGCTGTCTTATGGATCAAAAAAAAAGAAGTGAGTAGCTACTAGCTGTTCCGATATGAAGCGGTGGTCCATAGGGATATGTCCATAAAGGGATGTGTTGTTCGCTTCCATGAGGCGGCACCAGCTGCACTGTTGCTTGGTGAAGTGTTTCGCGCAGTGTGTCGCAGTATGTCGCGTCTGGGCAACTGGGTCATTCCCAAAATTTTCCCACTTGATGCAGTAAAACAAACGTACTATAATGTACTATATAAACATATATTCCCAAACATTCCATGGGACTGCCAGTCCGGACTGCCGATCAATTGGGGTGACTGGGGGTCAATGTAGGCATATATGGCAGTCCCAGGGAGTGTCTGGGCATTGATCATTTTCCATCAATGATCATCGCGAAGTAGGAGAACCCCCCCAATCCTTCATTCATCTTCATTCTATATTCTACAAACGCCGCCCCTCGCCCCTCAATTCACAGGTTTGATTTCAACGCTCTCGGTTCCCACCTCCAAATCGGTTCGGGCCACCACCCTTGGACTTCGAGTCACCTTCGAGCCTCCTTGAGATCTTTTGGCAACATCAACTCCACTGCCTTCAATTTCCTGCGCTCTGATTGAACGGGACAGCTGATGTCTTTGTAAACTAATATATGGAATCCAAATAAACCCATAATTATGGAATGAATATCAATTCATGGAAAATTGCAGAGATCCTCCCGGTGGAACAGCATGTAATTATATCCAAACCAACATTAGTGTGTCACTCGAGTGTGGCATCCAAAGAGCATGCGGAAACATGGGGAGGCACCGAACGCTACGCCGCTAGGCTCCTGGTGAAGCCATCACCGAAGCAGCCATGCACGTTGCAGTGCAGCTGATCAGTGAATTCCTTGGCTAAATGGATCTGTGACAGTGGAGAAGATTCGTCTTCAACGTGTGTTTCTGTTCTTTGCAGCACAAACTCAATATACGCGATGGTAGAAGGCAAAGGAATAAATCTCTATTATGCTCGAAGGTTGCGCTACTGCTAAGTAAGTCATGGTCATTTTCCAAACATCTTCATGTCAATGTCTTTGGCCAGGAACCAGCACATTTAGGACTTAACCGGGAGTACATGCCAGGGCCCACAGGATTCAAGATAGGTGACTGGCTTGCTTCGTTGATAAGGTCGGGCCATGCACTTCTCTGTTCCAAGAGGCTTTCGCTCAAAACGCCGATAACGTCTGCAAGTTACATCAAACTTACAATTTCCAACATCTAATTCAATTAGTAATTGTTTCTATTTGTATGTTGCTTGCATGTTTTCCCAGCGTTGATTTAGATACTATAATAGTAATAATATGTAATACTTACCCTACTTATATATGCTGTAAAGTTCCTCAAGTTCACTTTAAGTTCTATACATCTCCAGTAAAATTCCACTAGAGTAGCCTTCGGAAAGCACCCTCACCCTCTTTGGATCCTCGACATCACTCCTCACCATGCTCCCAACGGCCCGGTGAACGCGAGCTCGTTCGAACGCCTTCGCTCCGCGGGTAGCTGAGAGGCCCGGGAGAAAAGGCAGCTGTGTTTCCGCAAGGACCGGATCTGCTTCTGTACCTCATCGCCCAGCCGAAAGGAGTGAGGCTGCGGTGTTTTGATCAGCTGCAAAACCGAACGAGTGAACGCAACAAAGACCTCCGCTCATTCATAAAAGGGTACAATAATATACATAAATAACTTATACTTATAATCTATTTTATTTTATTGTAATACTATATAATATGATAATCAATAATAGTAAGAAGCAACGCCTGTTGGTATCCACAGAATTGCTCACCATGCCAAGTTGCATCTGCCGGGTTGAGTGGCTCGCCCTGAAACAAGCCTGAGTGACAGTGCTTGTTTGTTCGCTTGGCACAAAAGGAGCCTGTCCCTATCATAGGTTGGAAGATCTAGGAGATCTACTCCCCAAAGTGACTCCAATGTAAATGCATACCCATGTCGAAATGCAGGGGGCCTAAAGGTGATTTTATAGATATGACACGTCTTAGACACGAGGACCCCCCCTCATTTTATAGAGGAATTGGTCACGGGTATGTAAACGCCGTCCAGTTTTCCACAAGATGCTCGAGGGGTGTTGACTCGTTGATCTTTCAACTGCATCATCTGAGCAGGAAGGGGTGTTGGAAAGCAGGAAGGGGTGGCCTTTTAGATCTGAGAGGCGCGCATCAGAGACATGCCCAGCATATCCTCTTCATTGTATCAGTGAGATGTTTGAAGTCATTCAGATGTTTGCAGTTGAGGGAAAAACCTTGAAGCACCCAATGACCTTGAGAGAAAGTAAATAGCTAACTTCCGAAAGTGGGTAAAGTAAATAGCTTCACCTGGTGATGCAAGGCCTGCCCAAGACCTTGAAATAGCATGAAATAGCATCACCAAGTCGTGGCTCTCATCGATGCTGGGGAAGTGGATTGTGCAGTAAGGACACTCATGAGGCGGCTGGTCTCCGGACGGAACAACTCCAATCAGGCATAAGACCAACCACATCAAACCACCTTGATCGTTTCTGATGGCCCAACTCTAAGTCCTTCAGTATCATTATTGATGAAACAAGTCGATGGGCCAGCTACAACACCATCCCCTATGGTCCCGTCCCTTGTGGTCCCCTGTCTTTCCCTCCATGCTGCGCATCAAATCCAGCTCGACTGCCTTTAGCATGCTGGCATAGTCTGCCACCGTCGATTTGCATCCTAGGAAGCAAATGTTTTTCGCATCGCCCCGAGCGTCGCGGTGGTTCCGCAAAAGGGACTGTGAGTTCACTCAGAGGGCTGGGCTTGCCGGCAGAAAGTGCATGCGCAAAAACAAAGGTGACCTATTCCGAATGTATTCTTCATGATTCATGTTCTTCTATGATGTTCCATCAACAGTCGAAACATCACATACCTCTTACATTCCATGTAAATATCATAAAATCGATTCAAAGTTCTATTCAAATCCATCACGGATTCTCACGGACCCGACTCACGGATCCGCACCCCCAAGGCTACCCTCTCCGAGGCGCGATCTTGGCCAGGCGCGTACCTCGTCGCACCAGCCCCCCACGGGGCGAGACGGTCGTCGACGGTCGCACCGCAGCACCCGGTGGGTCGAACGGGAGTCACATCAACTTCGCATGTGGGTCGAACGGGTTATACCGGTCTGGGTGGGTCTGGTGAGTTCCCATGGGAACTCCGGTGTGCTCCACCAGTCACATCCGATCCAAACACCTGACCATCCCACTCTGCGAGGTGCCAATCGATCACATGAAGCGTCGTGGGGCCATCCTGGCATCGACGACTCTGAATGGGTGGAGTTGTTCGAAAGGGTGGCTGAGTCCTGCCATCTCTGTTGGGAGGGCCATTTCCTCATTCCCTACTTGCAAGTGGCACCCTGCAGATGTGATGAAAGACTACAGTAGTAGGACAGTGTAGGACTGAAAAGCTTGTGGGCCTGAACACTCTTCCACAAGCTTAGAGCACAAAGACCGTGAATGTGATCGACAGAATCTTCTTGTTTGGGGTCTGGATCAACAGAGAGTCTTAAACCCTACTAACTCATACTAACTCATCAAGTATGTAAAGATCATGTAAAGCCCAACAGCTAGACATCACCAAACTCTGTGCAGCGAGAAGTATGGGTGTATCGTATGCAGGTACATCCTATGTTTCATGTTGTTTGCTCATGGGGTTGTTGGGAAGGTGGCTCCTGTTCCTCTATCTGTTTTGTATTTCTTTTGAGGCATGAAGTATTGGAAGAGCACCATGAATAACTCCTTGATTGCATCAAGAACTTGACAGGTGCCCATCATGTAGACGGTTGATCCAGCCCCGATGGGGAAGAACGCCAGTTGCCAATCTCCTCTCCCCCCCGACCTCAGCCGACGGAGAGGAGCAAGCTGTGGCATTTCCAGGATCCTTCACTGTACCTCAGCTTGGAGCTGGACCAGGAACTGGGAAAAGCAACTTACCAGCACATGTGTTTCAGGTTATATAGGGGGATTGAATGGGACTTCCAACCAATGCGGAACATCCACTCAACCTGAAGCAAAACCCAAGTCGTCAGCGGTCACGCGATCTATCCGGAGGAGCGGAGCGAGGACGAGGAGGAGCGGAGCGAGGCGAGGACCGTGCAGACCAGCGGCAAGTTTGAAGATCTGGAAATCCTAGGGCTGCCAGGCAGGGCAGTGTCCCTAGACCTCCAAGTACCTTCGTTTCGAAGGGGTTTGGGGTGGGTGCCAGGAGGGTCCAGTCATACCTTCTGAGGAGGTACTTGGAGGTGTAGGGTGTGAGACTCTGAGTTCATTGCTATACTTGCCTCTGGGGGCATGATGACATAATTGTTCAACATGCGCATTTATTCTTCAACCTCCAAACAGGATGAAGCAGAAAAGATCTCAGGCAGCTCAAGTACCCTCTATAAGCCCTAAGTCTGTCTGAGCAGCCACCACCATCAGACTCGACTACAACACCTTGAGACTTTTGACCTCTCACCCCTTCTCCGCCGCCCGAGCATCCTCCCGCCGCGCTGGAGCGAATGTCACATTGCCTTCCGTCCGATCGACGTGACGGCGAACGCGAAAGTCGAAGTTTCCCAAAAAGAGAGGTGTCCTTCCATGAAATCCTCCGTTTTGTGAATGAAGATGTTTCTCCACCTTGACCATCCTTGATCATCCTTACGCAAAATACAAAACATCCAAGGCATGCGTTTTTCGGCCTGGCCATCGGTTCGAACCTCGATTCTTTCATGTCCTGCTCCCACGCCTGAACTCGCCGAGAGCTACACGAACCCCATGGCGCCGCAAGAGGCAAAACCTGAGGAGGCGGGCTTCAGACCCCAACGATTTCAAGCACAACACGTACAACGTTCATTGAACAGTCTGATTTTCCAAGACCTTAAGGGATCAAATGAAGTGGAAGCCTTTACAAACCACTTTGCAGTGAAAAACAATTACAAACGTGTATATAGAATACTGCGGAGACTTTGATAGACAAAATAGACTTTGGCATCATCAGAATCATCACTGGAGTGGTCGCCCTAATGGCTCCTTCGCACAAAAAGGCGTTAGAAACCAATACCTCAAAATGCACAAAAAGTCTCCAAACGTCGTAGCCTCTTTGGTCAACTTGAGGAGTCCAAATCAGTCCGAAAAGAACACAGTGATAGTTAACTTGTTGAGTGCCACATAACTCATGGAGTGCCAACCGAGCCACATGCGAGACAAAGCGTCTCTAACTCGATAAATCTCTCTATACACACCTGGGTCTTCAGTGGAAGTTTGCCCGGGACACGGTGATGGAAGGTGGGCGAGCCAAGTGATTAGATCGACCAACTCCCAATGGAAGGCGGTTTTCTGTGGAACTCAAAGCTACAGTACAGCGAGTACAGTACCGCCATGTGCTTGGAAACAGGGGAAAACCATGTGGTCCCTTGTTGATCTTTGGTGGTATTACGAGGGAATTTGCATCGACTGCTTGTGATGCTCAGAGTCCAAGTGCCTTGACATCACAACAAACTCTTGTGGATGCTTAGTTTGTGGCGGCCATGCTATTTCTTCCTTCAGAGATGTTTGGAGAGCAAGTGTTACTTTGATCTGAGGGCCAAAGCTCACTTTGTGGCACTCAATGGGGCTGTATTGTGGTAGCCCAACCTAAATGTTTCATGGCCGCCATATAGTAACTACAAAGAAGTATCGTCCTGAGTCCTTTACTGTATACTGCACATAGCAAATCATAAATATACCTCGACCTATATCTACCAGCCTATATCTATATCTTATCCACCTCATATTGAGATCCTCACCCTGGCTCCCACACCCTTTGGCCCGGGCTCTGGCCATCTCTCCACCTGACTCTCCACCCCGGGCTCAGCTGAGAAAATCGTTCGACAAGATCCAGCGACCAAGTTGCATCGCTGAAAATTCTGGGCGATCTCCGACTCATTGCGGCCAGCCTACGTCCGTGTGCCGTGGGAAAGTGCCTGCTGAGTAGCATAGCATCAACGAACTAGGTGTATACATACAATATCACGGCTAGCGCTAACCCCAGAAGCAAGTGAAGTCAAACAAGAAGTGCACATATTAGATGTTCTTCTTAGAAAGTGAAACCAAAAGTGTGGGTGGAAACCCTTCCCCTCATACTACGGAGGAGCGACAATCATAGGAAACATATGGAACATGTTTTTGAGGTACCCAGCATCTCCCTTGTTCAACAGGACAATGATCATATAATATTATATATGTATATATATATAAATTAATATAATAGATATGTGTCCACTGACTGGTTTGGGGTTGTTGGGATTCTTGAGAATTTATGGAGTGGGTCGAATTTGGGGAATCCAGAACCTCACATGGTATTGAAACTTGAAGCGGGAAGACTTTGATGAAGAAGTTATATAATACATGTTGGCATTGTTGAGCTGGTTCTGAGCGTGGAGATGTCTTTTGGTCCGGCTCCATGACTTTGGAAGCATAATATTTAGAATCACTCGGAAGTGTATCGTTGATCCTTCCGATAGACAGCTGAAGCTGGATGAGAGGGTCTCCAGATGCCCTTGGATTTTTCTGCCTTTTATGATGTCTTACAACCTCCAACTCTTCAGTGGAGCGCACCAGAACATACCAGAACTCACTGCCCCCTCAGACCTATCCCTCACCCGCTCTCACCCGCAGCGCTCAGCGACCTGGGTGAGGCTCGCCTGGTGCTGTACATGAAAATAGTCCTCTGCCTCGCGCACTGGCACGCGGTAGGCGGTGTAGCCCGACTTGGCGTGCATGATCCATTCGGCACCTGACCGGAGACGGCCGAATTTCAGGCCCCGGCACGACGGGCCTGACCGGGATGAACACCGAAAACGCGCCAGGGGGACAGTTGGAGAAGATGCGGTGTGGCACCGTACCCCAAACGGGACATCGCATACTAGTTGCATCCGGCCTCGTCGTGGTGACATGGGGTCGATTAACACCCCTATCTCGGGAGTGACTCCGTTCCTCCCGGTGTGTTCGTTTCTGCGGTCGTTGGGCCGCAGAAACATTGGACGAACACAAATGCTCCGCAGTACCCTGACGTCCAAAACAAACTCGATTGTGCGGGGAATGAGTTTGCAGAAACAACATACCCAGTGGTTGCAGTCAAAATGCCAAAGCAATCGTGCACTCCCATCTTACTCGTGCACTGAGGACTGCAATATCTGGGGGGAGCTCCATACATGTAATTAGACTCCTATTCAACAAAATTCACATACATTCACCACATAATCCAAACGGGGAGGTTATTCATCCAGAGTCAAGAGTCTGCCTGCGCTCCTTTTGCTTGGCCGCCCTTTCCCCGCCAAACACCACCACCATGCCATGCCACCGTCCCGTGCACCAGCGAGGTTGAACTCCCCGCCGAGGCGTGCGAGGCCTAGCTGTGTGAGTTCGTCCCTGAACCCCTGTGGCCCTGTGGCCCATGGGGGTTCTGATCATAGCCTCTGAAAGAGAAGGGGTCCACCGGCCCTAAGAAAACAATACACAATACACACATCAACCTCCCACCTACCGGTCCTGAAATGTCACAAATTCAGTCTGCAGAGTCTTGCGGACGGATGGGATGGAAAACCTCAGCACCCCTGGGATGGGCCGCATCAAATGACACTCCCTAGGGCTCCTGTCCCATATCCTCAGGTTCGGTGGTGAGACCCCCCTGGCACCCACCCCAACCACCTTCTCAGGAGGTGGTTGGAGCCTAGGGACTATAGATATGCGTTTGGGTCCGAAGATGCCGCATTTCAACCGCCCCTTCAGTTGGAGGGATCAGGAAACTGGCGACGAAACTGGCGCCAACTGGCTCATGTGATGGGTGGAAACGGTGCTTGAAGTAAATGACGCTGACTTCAATGGAAGTCAATGGTGTTGGATGGTGTTGGCCATACTATTGCATATATCATCCCTGGGCCCACATGGGTGCAACGAACAAACTTCGTTCGCATGAAAGAAAACGTATTTCGGAGGAATGAAAGGACTGCGTTTCTGTGGCACAGACATCAGGACTGGACTGTGCCGCATGTCTCAATTGTGTTTAGAGGTTGTAATTATAACCGTGTCCATGCCCAAATGCTCCAGATGGCATACAAGACTCGTGGGTCTTTAAGGTGAATCTATAGGCCATATTGGCGCCACCATGGGATGCGGCATCCCAGCCCACCCGAAACCCCCGTCCTCGGTAGGGACCGGTGAGGTGAGGACCACGTCCGAAGAAGGTCTGGCGGCGAAAGGGAGCAAGGAGAGTCGGACATGTCTTCGGCTGACAGTACTGAGTTTGCTTGCTTGTGCTGTGTTTGTTTAAACATGTAATGACGAAGGAGTCCGACACGACTGCTGACACGACTGAGTTTCTACATGTCGACCACCAGTCTCCAAGTCGTCCTGCTTCCAATGCTGTTCCCGTCCAGCTCGGCTTCCACTCGTTTTTTTCGGCTGCCAAAGCCACCGCGCCTGGCCCGGGGCTAAATCTCCGTGCTTCACCTCCAGCAGTGCGCCACCCTCGTTGCGGCGCTGCATGATGGGCGCGATGACCAGGTTGTAGTCCTCGTCCAGTATCCTTGGACGAAGCACAGGCACCAGCAAAGTCCTAAATGGAAGACCCTATGGCTCCAACCACCTCCTGAGAAGGTGGTTGGGGTGGGTGCCAGGGGGGTCTAACCACCGAACCTGAGGATATGGGACAGGAGCCCCAGGGATTATTGAAGGATGTGGAAGGAACAAAGTGTTTGTTGCTATGCCCCGAAGAAGAACATGGAAGGAACTTTTAGCTCAGGGTGTTTCTGAATATCCCCCAGATCTGGCTCACTGGCCAACCTTGGTGACGTCATCTGGAGTCCATTGAAGACCTGTACTTCTAACACACTTGAAATCTCCCCACCCACCCTGTCAGTGTCATTGATTTCGACCGTTTAAGACCAGAAATTCGGCACACCATATACCAAGCGAAGCCAAACATGCTGTTGGTCTATGTCTATGTCCTTACTCAACAGTGCTTTGGAGGGCCGCTCCAAATTCCATGCCACACCGCTTCTGGTCTTCAATTCCCACACCACGCTTCCGCGTCTGGTCTGCCAACGAGGCGCCAAAGGAAGTTGCCATCCTGTGATCCCCGGTCACGCGGCCAGAGTTTCAGCAAAGATGGCAAAAGATCAGGCACACTAGGGAGCCTGGGCAGAGGAAGAAGCCTCAAAAAGGACATGGGTCTATCCACGTAGCGGATAGAAAGCTCTAAGTTCCCAAGGCTCAAACACATCTCGCAACACAACCCATCTCGTCTGGTTCCCAGGGCAAAAGGGACGAGATCTAGACTGTGGGGAGCCAGTTTGGAAAGTCCCCCGTGTTTGGACACCCTCAATACGTAGAAACTAAGGAGTCGGCAATGCTTGGGTGCCAAGGGGCATTTATGGAAGATTCACGCTGGACCCGGCCACCACTCGAAATGATGGTTCATGGTTGATTCATAAATATAGCTTTTATACGTTCCACAACTAAGGCACTATGGACTATGGATGCTACATTATAGGGGGATCCATGCATCATACTGCATGCACCCACTCAAATCACCTGCTGGCTGGTGCATGTGGGGGCCATGTCTGACCACTGCATTTGCACAGCTTGGACCCAAGGGGACTAGAGGATTCCAAAGGCACCACATGTGACCATCCACACCATCCAAACAGCGCCGAACATGTAGAGAACTCCCACTCATGCAGGTTTGATGTTCCAAAGCACTCCATGTCCAACATACCTCCCCGAAGATTTGACTATCAACTCACGATGTCCAACATACCAATGGAAATACCTGGTAATTCCTCGTCGTAGTCCAGTTTGAGCCTCTGTGTTTGCACTTTGTGCTCTTTGCCTGGTCTTGGAAAAACTCAATAAAACCCACCTTGGTGAGCCTGTCATCGTCCCCAAGCCTGTTATCGCTGCAACGAATGGTTTGGGCAACCGACGAGCTCCACACCCTCGAGCTCCAAACCCTTCGTGTGCCCGGGGAGTCTGACACAGAACCAGGGCCCTGCTGAAGGCGTCCCAGCAGCTGCAGCATGGGGCCACCTGTCAGGGCCGACAGGAGCCTTCCGAATCGCGTGCCCAACTCGGGAGGCTCCAAAGGAAGAACCCGGTCACAAAACCCAAAGAAAAACTGGAAGATCTTTATCTGTGCAGCGTTTGAGTCTGTCAAACTGAGGCTGGGTTTTTCAGAGCTACATCCAAATGGTGAGATAGAATTGCAAGATCAATCTGGCTCTGGTCGGAAAACATGTATCAAACCCATCTATCAAACACCTGGCTGCTTTATGGAAGATCTGAACGGCTTTCCACCGAACCGTAGCTTGAACAACCAACGACACCGAACCGTGGTCGAGACCGAACCGCGGATCGTTTCAGTGGAAAAAAAAAAAAGGGGTCTTCCGGCGCAAAACCGAAGCGATCAACCGATCTTCTGAGGATGACATCCGTTGCTCAACGCAGTCATGACATGACATGACGATCCAGATTCTGATCCTTGCCGCCAAAGTAAACATATATACAAGATCAGAAACCACTCTTCGCGCAAGCATCATGCAATATGCATCTTGCATCTGATACTTTCATATATGATCATATATGTAGTTTCTGCATATACTCTGCATGTACAGGACGGTCATTCATTTCAGGAATGCCTTTCCCCTCACCGCACCGAACGTCTTGTGTCCGCTTGTGTCGCGTCTCACCTCGCTGCCACACGAAGACCTTGCCAGAGGCGCAGATCGCCATGCGCTCTGCGGGCAGCGCGTAAGGCCCGTGCCATTGGCCCCAATTCACCGCGGTCACCTGGTCTCTCGGCGCCCGCGGCGCTCCGAATGGATCGGGTCCACGGTCCACGGCAGTTTTGGTTCCTGTCCTTTGACCAAGCTCATTGAGAGCAGTGCAAGTATTGCACATATGTCATATGCCATATGAGGTACGTTGCAAAGTGATGAGGTGCGGCCATTATTGCGTTGTCATCATTTGTGAGCCGCTCTTATGCCACCATCATCGCACATGTTGAAGGCATTTCATATGGTCAAAACGCACCAGGATACCTTGGTTGACCTAGCTCGTGTCGGTCGTTCGCTACATGGTGGACATGGTAGACATCCAGATCTCGCCATGAGATGAAGGCTAAATGGAAAAAAAATAAAACACGACATTTAAAAAGAACCATCCTAAAGTATGAGTCTTAGAATAGGTGTTTGATTTCCCTGTGCTACGTACCCAACACACCCCAACACCGTTTTGCCCATGCAATGATCACCTGGGCCGTTTTCCAAAACGCCGCCGTCCACGCCGCGCCTCGGGGAGGCCCAGCTCATGAAACTCCTGGGCGTTCAGGACGGTGTCCGGTGCCACGAGGAGAAGAAACCTTGATCTCCATCGATTTGTCTCAGCTGTTAGCTTTTCATTAGCTAATTCGTGTCCTGTCATGCGGTTTTACAGGAACCATTCCCTCATGAAAGCAAACTGTCACTAAAGACTTATTGCGTCTGGTTGAAACTCAACCGCGGCTGCCATCCCGTTCAAAGCAACCTCCGACCCGACCACACCTCCTCTGGCATGCCGCAAACCGCGCGCACGTCCGTGGGCCTTGCAGAAAAGCATGTACATGTTGCAGAAAAACTGGAAAATTTATCCAACAACTGCGTTAAGAGGCACACAATCCTTGTCCGCTTTGGGACGTGGTGTAATTTGCACACCATGTAGAATTCTGTGTCGATGTTCATTCAGAAAAAACACGCATCTCGAAGACTCCCAGTCTCCCAGTCTGTTTGATACTCTAGAGGTTGTGGTGTTCCCGCTTCCTCTGAACTTCAAGACACGCACAGACACGCTCTCTGTTCTTTTCTCCGATCAAATGCCGGATGTCCTGGCAAAACCTGGTGCCTGAGCATTGGTGGCCACAACACTACTGTAGAGTTGAGACTCCAACGATGAGATCTGGATGGATAGGCCATGAGATCTAGGTGTTGGGAACATGTCGGAAACATGGAACATCATACGGTGTTTCCATTGGTCAAAACATAAAACAAACAACACCAAACAAAAAACTAAGTATCTGAATTATAGACAAACACACATGTTGTTCGCTTGTCATGTGTCCATCCACAAGATCATGGTCCATCGGAACTGCTCCATGTGCCATCTTCTTCCAATTCAACAAGCAAAACATGAACACAGTTCCCCACATCATCTTCAATGATAGTGTTCATGTTCAACCATACCGTCTCAAAGTGATTGTCACAGGTTTTGCCAGCGGTGCTTGGCTCAGTTGCTTGGCTCAGTTGCTAGCCCCGCGGTGTGAAACATCGGAAAGCGATTTGGACTGATTTGAGTCCTGCCTGATGGTCTTCCCAACCCATCCCGCACTGAACACATCCAGTCCGCATGAAGGCAGTTCTTCTCTTCAGTCCAAAGGGATGAACTGCAGGCAAGTTGTGTTCTCTTTTCTCACTTTCACGCCTAGCCAACTCACGTCCGCTTGGCTTGGATTTGCTCATCACCAGGAAAAAGGTCGAACAAATCACCTGTTTCAGGTGCACTCCATCGAAGCAAGAAACCGCATGACATGTTTGAACACCTGACATCACATCCTATTTTGAACATGACTTGAACATCCCAGTTGCGAAGAAAACACACCATGCAAAAGAAAGAAACAACACACACACAAAACATCACAAAACAACTCTAGCACAAAAAGGAAACAACAAACGGAAACAACAGCAGTCTCAGGTCGTTCGCGTCTGTCGCCTCAGGCTTCCTTCTCCATCGTGCCGTGCGAGGCCTTAAGATCCTCGCGCAACAACGCCGCCTCGCTCCGCGTCGAAGATCCCCGCGGCGCAGTCTCCGGGACCCAACTGGTGCACCTGTGCTTGACTGAGGGCGGAGGCTCCTTCCCCTGTGCAGTACGTGTGGGGCAGCTTTTTGGGGGGTCGGTGTTTGGGAGGGTTAATAAGCTATAAGTAAGAGCTTGGAAGGTCGATTGTGAGACTTGTATAGTGTTTCGAGATGTTCTGAGCAACAGCTCTGTTTCCTGATTCATTTTGTGGGTCGCGTGAATGCTATTGGATTTTGAATGATTTTGAAGACACAACAGTCCACAAGCTTGCAAGAGGCAAACAACCCTCATGGGCGTTGGGTGCCTGGGCTGTTTGATTCAACAGTGAGCAGCTCATTTTGTCTGTCCTGGTTGGCAGCTGGGGGCCTTTTCTGGGCTGGTTGGCACTAGTGACACTAGTGATCCCACTTATTCAGCATTGGCTCATCCCCCAGCACAAGGAAAAAGTCGACATCCCAAGTTGCCACGGTCGTTTTTTTGGGATGCTTGCTGATCCCATATTGGGATCTTGATCTATTATATAACGACTAATCGAGAACGGAACGGTCGCAATTGCAAGCTGTGAAAAAAACCTCTTTCTGTGTAGGTGACAACAAGGAAACGGTATCTTTTTACGGTTGTGTTAGACTGATCAGCGGATCTTGAGATCTGTCCACCGCATTCCGGTGAGATCAGCAAGGCTACGGCGGCCCTCCGATGTGCCCCAGCTCTTCCAACCTTCCCTATGGATCCACATACCCTCTGAGAAGGTGATTGGAAACACCTTTATGTAGACTTTGAGTGTCCAAATACTTCCTGAGAAGGTGTTTGGATCCCTAGGGTTTTGGCACTTTCGAAACTGCATGGACATCTGTCCAACCAGCCGGTTCTTGGAATGAAAGCCTTCTTGAAGCTGCAAAAAAGACTCTTAAGTACCAAACGACCTGTTAAAACACCCAGAAACACATAGAGCATCGAATCCGCTCAGGTTGCCCCTCTCAAATTGACTGGGCGCGCAAAGCATGCGAGCATCAAGAAGGCCGAGGTGTAGAAGAAAGCCAAGTACGTGTGGAAGGAATTCGTCAAAGCCTCCTGAGGTATATAGGCGATGGACGATGGACGCCGTCAAAATAATCTTGAGCACGCAACAAGTGATTGAACAACATGGAAATGGTGGCCACAACGTTAAGCTTTTCAGTTTTGGGGCTTGGATACGGCACCCTGGAGCTTCCAGCGCAAATGCTGCGAAAGGTTTGCCAGTCAAAATGCAAATCCCATATTATATGATCGAAATGAGTGTTTGGTGGTATTAACTCACGAACAACAACTATGAATCAGTGGGTTCATGTCCTATAAACAAGTTAAACAAAAAACAAATAAAACACAACCTGAAACCACCCAAATAGCTCTACTTAGTACCATCATGTACCATCTAAAATAGCACCTAGGATTCCATGTCTCAACGCCCAGCACCACCACCGGAACCCTTCGTCCGCCATGGCGCGTAAACGACCGGCGCCAGCGAGGCGCCCAGGCGCCCCACGCCCAGCACCACGGCGGTGCCCGTGGCGCGCACCGGCGCGGCGAAGGATTCGGCGATGAGGACGAAGAGGGCGATGGAGCCCGTCTGGGGGAAGAACTTACAACCTGCAGAAACGACGACATGGACGAACGGATGACCATGTTGGACACGGATGACCGTGATGCAAGATACAGAAAAAGAAAGGAACAACAACACACACTTGACCTGAGCTGCTCTGAAAACCTGCAGTAACTGCAGTATGTCGTATCAATTTGCAAACCTGCTGGAGCTTAGCGCCATCCTTACGCAAACCAGAAACAACCTTGCATAGTTCATCCTCCTAAGTCACAAACAAGAAAAACAAAAACACGTGTAACAGCTCCAATGTGGGTGCTTGCCTTTTCAATCCTGGACTCAGAAAGAAAAGAATGGAGCTTACGCAAGTGCTTCAGCAACATCATATCCCCAAAATGCTTACGCAACCTTACGAAACTCATGGTTTTTGCTTACGCGGGGGCTTGATATGACAAGACCTTGACTAAACACATAAATAAAGCAAGGTTATTCGAGTTCCTCACCTGAGGAATGGTTGTTTTGGGGGGGCATTTCTCGCCAAGCAGTTGGTCTAGCCAGTAGCCAACGGGAGAAATGCATGCATCATACACGACAAAATAGTATTCAATTATAGTATAAGTACAGTTGATTCTACAGAACAAACTGCAGCACTTGCCCACGCTCAATTTATCAGGGTCAACTACCATCACTGGGCGACCATATCAACTGATCACAAGCCACCTCTAGGGCACTTGCTCATTTAGTTATTGCTTGATGAGACAAAACCCTCAACTTGTTGAATTCCCATCTATCACAGCTCTCGGCCCGTCGGCCGTCCTACTAGTTGTTCGCGTTAGCTCCCAAATCATTGTACCCAACACGCCCCCCCTTAGATTATGCCCTGCCTTAGATGATGCAACAACTTGTGCCATCTCAAACTCTGAGGCTTTGTTCGTCCCCCAAGCATTTGAGCCTCCAACCAAGCTTGCCAAACACTCACCATTCAATATGTTCAAACCCGTCTAGCATACGTAGTAGCATACTGGTCTCAGGTGTTCCCACGTGTGTCCTCCCTGGGTCTCATGGCGCCTCTCCAGGCCAGAATCCTCGTAGACTCCATGAACTTCTAGTGGTCAGACCACGGTCCCCTTCTCGGGTGCCCAACAAAAACGGCAAACACCCCCTGGTGGCGTTGACTGATCCCGAAAAAACGATGAACAATGTTGTTCCTGGTGTGACTCAAGTGACACGGTGACGTGTTCGGAGTGCTCTGAATGTTCTGAAAAGGATCAGTGAAAGTGTTCGATTGGTGTTCCATTCCAAAAGTTGCCAAACTCATCAAAGGCATACTCCCGGCCTCCCGCCCCCCTCAAGCACTTTTCCTTCCATCCATTTCCATGCCCGCCACTTCTCAGGGTGCTCCATGGTACGTGGGTCTAATGGTGCCAAGTCGCCGTAGTACCCTGCAAGCATGAACTCCTCCCTGGGACTTGAGAACCTCCAAGCTCCGCTCGCGTTCGGCTCGCATTGGGTCGACCCGTGTGGTCCAGAGACCGTCTGGTGGCAGCGTGGTGGGTGAGAAACCATGCCCAAACACGACCTGTCTGGGACTGCCAGTCCGGACTGCCTCCCAACTGATCGGCATATATGGCAGTCCCAAAATGTCCCAGACGTGTCGTGTCTGGGCATGGTTCGGAGGGGAGCCATGTGTCGGTTTTCTGCTGAATTAAGAAGTGGAGGCCACTCTTCAGTGGCCACTGTCGCCATTAATAGATCAATTCAACCACAAAACAACACCGCAAACGATTCCTTTTGGAACGACTCCGACTCTGATAACTCCAGCCGGTGGTGTTTTTTCTCGCAGCCAGTGTTTTGGAGTGTTTGGGCGTCTTTTGGTGATTTCGATCCTTAGACCCCCTGTGGACGGTGGATGCCTTGGATCATAACTCCTGAAATCCCAAACACGACCCACCCGAACCATGCCCAGACACTCCATGCGACTGCCATATATGCCGATCAGTTGGGGTGGTTGACTGGGGGTCTTTCTGGGGCGGCAGTCCTAGGGCAGTCCCATGGGCCGTGTCTGGTTGAAAGGAGGACCACGCAGGAACACTCGTTTGGACGAGCTGGCGGCCAGTGGTGCGTTGAGCACTCTTGCGACGTTCCAGGCCGGTGCGGCGGCAACGCTACTCCCAG